GGACGCGGCACCCCCCCACCGTCCAGGAAACGCTCGTCTTGAAGAACGTCCCAGGACGGCGGGGCCACAACGCCCCCACACACCGCAGGGGCATTGGATGAGGAATGTGGCGCGTCGCGTCCTCTTCCAAAGGTAACATCGCCCATCGGCACGAAACCCTGGATTTGTTAGCGCGCCAGAAGCTACACTACGCAATTGCTACAGCAAGCGCCCCCCCCCGCCTTCATGTTTCCACCGCCCCCGCGGCGAAGTACTGCAAAATCGCACGCCGAATTTGTCGTGGAGTTTTTTTTTGCTTCCCCAGGTTCAACGCCGTTCCTGTCCAGGCCGGGCGTGGCCGCCTTCGTGGACAGGTGCGAGAAGCGCGGCATCAAGCGGACCGTGGTGCCCGACGAGAAGCGGTTGGCCCGCCGCTTGATGGTGCAGGAAGAGGCGATCGCGGAGTGCGAAAAGCGAGGTTTGGAGTTGGTGCACGCCTCGATCCCGGGGCTGTTCACCAACAAGGACCCATGCACAGTTGTCCAGAGACACATGGCCGGGGCCATTTCTCAGATGGAGTGCCCGGTGGCTGTGGGCAACATGAAACACGGGCGCGACCGAGCACGCAAAACAAGCACGGAGGTCTCGCTGGCGAACGGGCGGAAGTGCGAAGGCAGGAAGAACTTCCTGCAGCTGCACCCGCGGTTTGTCCAGATATCCAGATGCCTGCGGCGCGCACCGCCAATGCCAAAGCAGCTGCCCCCCCCCGGTCGTCCATAATCATTATAGTCACCACGGTTTTTCTTTGGCGCAGTGGCAGGGCCACGCGCGCCTAGACACACGCCTGTTGCAGTTGCTCCTGTTCATGGTCCTCCTCCTTTGACCGGCCACGAGTCTCCCCAAATCGTCCCCTTGTTGCATATGCAGTTACCGCAGACATGTGTAATCGATCCCGCATCGTACCATATCTTCTCACTCCACATCCTGCGGCGCAAGTTTGAGCACAGTTTTTCGTCATTCGGCCGCCCAGGGTGGCGACCTCAGAGCGGGGAGGGAAAATAACGAATTACCCAACACACACACACAACGATGGACTGCACAGGCGCGCGCTGCAGTAGTTTCGCGGAGCTGCTAGGTACAAACTTGAAAAAATACAATAACTTAAACAAGTGCCCTGTTGCACGCGCCCCTGCTTCTGCCGATAAGGAGGGTAGGGGGGGCACGATAGCTTGCTCGGCGCGGCGCCGAGTTGTCAAACCCTTCACATGCCACGGACTCGGCGCGGGCCAGCCTGCAAACGCAGCACGTTTCACATGTGACGGACTCGGCGCGAACCTGGGGATGCCTTCGTGGCCGGCGGCCCCAACAGCGTGCAGTAGCAACGGTAATTGGTGGGGCAAAACATGTTGGCTCTTTCGGTTCGAGACGCAACCTCTAGTTCCAACTAGCCCAACAAAAGACACCCGCGCGCTTAAAGGCCGAGCTCGGGCTGCATGTGAAGAGGCACGGAGAAGGCTCAAATGCCCTTGGCTCGTACCGCTTACTGCAGGGCAGAGTGGGAAGGAAGATCAAGCGCCACTTGCCCTGGCACCCCTGAGCGAAGGCCGCGTTGCGCGTAATCATACCTTCCAATGGCGGGCGCGCCAAGCTGCCAGTTTGACACCGAAACTATTTTAAACGCGCGCGCGGCCATTTTCGAAACCACCATGAAGCATTTTCAACTTCAGCACCGCGCGGCCCGCAAGCGGCCTAGAACCATGAGAAAACCATTTTCATCATTCTTAATCTGATCCCCGACATGCCCGTGACCCTATCCAGACCAGGCTGGCGTGCGGCACCTCCGGCCCGGCCGCCCGCAGCAGGTGGACAATCCGACACACGTTGGCCGAGATCCGGAGGAAAGCGAGCTCCGCCGGGGGGTCCTCCACCAGCGCCAAGGCCTCGCAAGTGGAGTCGACCGCTGCCGTGGCCTGCGCAAGCTGCTCCGGGAGCGTGGCACCGGCTATTTCCACGCCGAGGACCCTGCCAGCCGGCCCCCCTGGCGGCGGGCGCCGGCACGTAGCCGCAACGACGCCGTCTGCCCAGTCCGGCGGTACTCGGCCGGCCGTCGCGCCACCGCCGATCAGGCGCACCACGCTTTTGAAAGACCCGTCAGGGGCCAGCCGACTGCCTCCGCGGGCGGCCAGAGCAGCGTCGAACGCCTCGAGGTAGGCAGCCACGTGCGCCGGTGGAAGCAGCACCTGGCCATCGTCCATGTACCAGCCGCCCCACACCCACCCGCCAGCCGCCTCCATGGCGCGACGCCCTGCAGCCTGGCACTCCAGCAAGACGAGGCCGCAGTACGCTGGGCCAAGTGGGTCCCCTTGCTCCGCCCCGCGGTCACACGCCTGCCAGCCGCCTGCGGGGAGCTGGATCCACGCCGGCTCGCTGTGGCACCACGCTGTCCAGCATGCTAGCGATGGGGCGTGGGCGCCAACCGCCTGGCGCACAGCCGCCCACTCGAAGGAGGGAAACGCGTTCCGCAAGTCGAGATCCAGGAGGGCGGCAACCTCCCCCAGGGGCGCCCCCGCCTCCAAGCACCGGCGCACGTGCACCAGCACATCCGCGCCGCCTGGCAGGCCGACCCCGCACTGCCGGTGTTCGAGAAAAAGGCGCTGGAGAAGTACTCTGCTGTCAGCCGCCATCCCCTTGGCTACCACCCGGCGCCACAGTTCACCGACGCGGATCGGGCGCGGGGTATCTGTGCCTGGCTTACGCAGGAAGACCACGCGCGAGTCGGTGATCCAGTGCGCTGTTGCAGGCAGGGTGCCTTGGGCGCCCCTGCGCCGGAGCTCCGCGACTGCCCGGAGCAGCCTGTTCTGCGCCGCCCTGCTGCGGTCCTGGAGCGCCTCCCGGAGGTGTTCGGGGCGAGCGCCGGTCGGGCCAGCTCCGCTGAGGCGAGGGAAGAGGACGCCCGCCAGCGCTTCCTGCCAGAGGCCTTTCTTCCCGCCACTGCTCGGGCGGAGCTCCGCGGCGGCAACGTCGTCGTCCTCCGCCTGGGCTTCTGGCGGCGCTGGCTGCGGCGGCGGCGGCCACGGTGCCCGGGCCGCCTGGGGCTGTTCCGAGCTGGGCAGCAGGCGGGCCGCCCACGCCACCTCGTCGTCTGGCGTTAGCGGCGCCAAGCTGCCCGTGAGCGCCGCCATGCCCTTTCGGTAGGCGCCGTCCCGCGCGAGCTTGCGCGCTCGCCGGCCTCGCTGCGGCAGCGGCGCCGTGGGGCCGGCCCGTCCCCGAGCGCGCTCCCGAGCCTGGGCTTCAGCCCGAACGAGCAAGGCTTCCCATTGATTCAGCCCGAATGAGCAAGGTAGCATTTGCTACCACCGTTTGATTCAGTATTGGAAGATGCATGGAGAAGTCAGAGTGCGAGGGTAGATAATGCATCTGCGGAGAAAACAATCAGATAGCATCGGGCGAAGCTGGGTAGAGAGAGAGAGAGAACAAACAACACACACATAGAGGGAGAGAGAGAGAAAGAGAGAGAGCGAGAGAGCAAACAGAGATAGAGAGACCCACACAAACACGAAATCCACACATATCTGCACATACAAGATTGCACTGGCGTGTCGCGCCATGCGCTTTGGTCCTTGAAACTTGACATGCAGTGGACGGTCAATAATGCAACGCATAAGCTTTAGCGGCAACTTCTTGTTACAGTTGCCCGACTTCGTCGCCGTAAAAAATGATTTCCCTCATCCTTCCATCATGCTTCATACTCCTCTTATTCATTCTCGCTCTATCCTGCGGATTGTCCCCCATCCTCCACAACTCTCATTGCGGAGGCTCCTCCTTCCTTGGTGAGCCTCTTGGGCCTCACGAAGGTTGTGGCCTTCTGGAAACCTCCTGGGCGCCTTCTGGGAGCACTTCCATTTGGCTCCGCGGGCGCCCACGTCTCGAGATCCCCGCCTGCTCCCTGCGCTCCAGTGCCGGAAGGCTCTTCCGTGGGCGCCCCAATGTCGGGCTCGGGCGACCCATCCTCCTTGGGCGACAGGGCGCACGGGCCCCCCCGTTCTGCCTCGCAGCTGCCCGCGTGCGGAGCAAGTACTGTTGACTGCCTAGGGGTTGGGCCCACCGTGAGGTGCCCGTGCCTCCCAGCACCAGTCCCCGCGGGGGGTTGGCCTCGGTCAACCGTCCGCGGAGGTTCGTCGGTGGTTGAACCCCTCCGATGGTTAGACGCAGATGCGACCGCTGCCCCCGGTGCCGAAGGCAAGGTGCAGCCTTTTCCTCTGGACCCCGGCCTGAGTCAACGGGGGGTCCAGGGCAATCCTGCCCAGGGTGATGGCCACAAGTAGGCCCCACCGCATGGCGCGCGGCGGGGCGGGATCACGGGCGGAACCCCTCCGCAAAAGAAAAACGGGCCCGAGCCCGAGACGGCTGTGGGAGGACGGGGGAGAGGAAGGAAACCCTACGCGGCTCCAATTGAGCAGTTTCAGGGTCCCCCCAGAACAAAACTTAAAGCGCGTGCACATGGACTTTCGGAGGTCCGCGCTGAATTCTTGGATCAGCGCTGGGCCCCCTCCATGGAGCGCGGAGCGCGCTGGGGGCGGCGCCGGAGGCGTCGCCAAGGTGGGTCCAGCGCCGATCCAAAAAATCCCGCAGACCTGAGAAGATTTGTGCCCCTGTCTGATTCAAATTCTGGCGACGCCCTGATCTCAGGGCCCGGTCCCCTTTCTCCCTCGCTCCTCAGAAGCTTCGAGCCCGGACGTCCTCCGAGATGATTTGGTCTGATTTTTCCATCTGCGACCCCAAATCTCTCGACCACTTCCCCGAGGGTGTTAGTTTTGCCATGTTTGACAATCCCGGGGCCTGAGAGCGGTCCTCGGAGACCGATATGAAGGACGCTCGCCGCGATGGAGCAACAATCGGATCATCGGAAGTTGGGGCCCCCTTCCTCCTCGGCGGCAATTCTCGAGGCCGGCGCACCGCCTCTCCCGACGTTCGACGACGACGACGACCTTGGCGGCTTCGAGCCCAGCCCCGCCGGTCGCCTCCTCGTCTCTCCGGCAGGGCCCCCAGCCAGCGCCGGGCCGGCCGCCTCTCCCGCCGCGGCGGCCGGGCCGGCCGGCGGCAGTGGCGGGAAGGACGACCAGAGCTCCGCCCACCGCCTGCGCGACGGCGCTGACGACGGCGAAGTCGACCCATATCTCCGACGGCATGATTTGGTCAATCCCGACGTTTTCCTTCGATTTCGGCATCTGGGGCCCGCGTGCGTTCTGGGGTCACGGGGCCATCCAACAGTATTCCGTGAAGGAAAACTACTCCTGGAGAAAGGGTCTGGGACGCATTGAACAAATCACACCGTCGGGTGTCTGGAGACGACGCCGACGAGGGGGGGAGGGAGGGATGGATGGAGAGAGGCAGGAGGAGAAGGTGGAGGAGGAGGAGGAGGAAGAGGAAGAGGAGGAGGAAGAGGAGTGAGTGAGTGGGAGGAGGAGGAGGAGGAGGAGGAGGAGGAGGAGGAGGACGAGGAGGAGGAGGGAGCAGGAGGAAAAGGAGAAGAAAGACCACAATGACCCCAATTGCATCAACGATGCTGCTGCATCATCCCACTTCCCTTCCTCGCGAGTCTCTGCAGTCTTCCCTTTCACTACAAGAAGCGTCCCCTTGAAAGGCCAGCGCCCTGTGGGCATGCCGTTGGGGCGAGAGACCCGCTTTGAGAGAAACCGCCTTACATCGAACAACAGTGAATGCGAAAATATACGCTGATACGGTTCAACGGGTGTCTGGCGAGATCTCCGCATTGAAAAACGTACCGCTCCCAAGTGTGCAGCTGTTGCGCGCGATTGCAAATATGGTCATGAGCTCCGAGGAAGTCTCAAACGACAGCCCCGTTTTGAAAAGGGACTGCCTTCCACCCGAGCAGCTGTCTTAGACTTGATCAGGCTTCAGTGATCAACTTACTAGCCATTCGAATTAATCAAAAACCGAGCGAGAGTCCCATTTTGAAAAGCAGCCGCCCTCCATCTCTGTCCCTGCGGGGGCTGCAAGAGTTCACTGCTGAGAACGAACTGTTCCGTCCCTGTCACTGTTCGGAACATTAAGAACGAATGTGCGTGGCGCTGAAGCGATAGCTCCATTTTGGAATCCACCTGTGCTCAACCCTGTTAACGGTTGAAGTTGTTGAAGTACATGTGCGCGGCGCTCAGGCAATAGTTCTATTTTGAAAACGATATGTGAACCATCCATCTGCGGTCGGGAACGCTTGTTTACTCGCTACTGCTGCGCTGCCGGATATCTACGGTCCCCACTAAAATGCTTAGAACATCGATCTCACAAGAAAAAACACGCGACGCGGAAGCGACAACGACAAATCGCCGACCCGTGCGTTCGGCCGCGCTGCGAGTCTTCGGCGTCTGCCAGGCGGGCTTGCGAAGGGGCCCCCAAGGTGGCCGCCCGCGCAGTTGCCTCGCGGGCTCCGTGGGCGGAATGCCTGGGCATACATAGCCTTCCAGTGCCTCCCGAGCGAACCCCGCGGGGGGCTCCCGGGGCGGCGCCCTGGCGCCGCGCGAACTAGAGCGCACTGCGAGCGCGAGCGGCACTTCCATGTCAACGCCGCGAAGATAACGAGCCGCAGCGGGCCCCGAGCCCCAACCGCGCCATTCGGGATTGCCCCAGCCCGGCTCAAGCCAAAACGGCGGCGACGCAGCGGGCGGGTGGGGGGGGGGCGGGGGGCAGGGCGGAAGGGGAGGGAGAAAATAGGGGAAGAAACGCAAGAGTAGCAGCGAGGAAGACAACCGCGAGACAAACAGACGGAGAGGGGGGAGGTGGAAGAAGGGGAGGAAGAGGATAAGGCGGAGGGGAGGAGGTGGAAGACGACCACGGTAGCAGCAGCGGCGTCATAGGGAGAGGAGCCGGGACGAAGGGCAAGGGAAAAACAGGTGGAACAGAGAGAACGGGGGGAGGGGGGGGGGAGGCAGCAGCAGAAAACGACGGCGGGGCGGCAAATGGACATTCCGAACGGAACAAAAAGGCCGGGCGCCCCGAGACATGTAGGCCCCAAGGGTCTCTTGTTCCTGAGAAGCACTCCCGTGTGTCGCAAGTGCCGGGCCGGCACCCGCCACTGACATCACGATAGCCACCTGCCGCCCCGGCGACCCCGCTGATTTCTGCAGGACGCGCAACTTGGGAGTCCCCCGCTCCTTCAGCATCGATAGGTATGGGGAGCTCCGTTGCTCCGTGCTGGCCCTTGAGACGCGCCGTCGGCTCGAGTACTACTTTCATATCTGGCTTATGGCCGACGAGGACCCCTGCGTGTTCGCGGACGCAGATGCGAAGAGCTACAGTGAGGAGCTGGCCTGGGCGGAGTGACTGTTGGCCCAGGGCCGCAAGGGCTTCATTTGGGAGCGGGCGCGCAGGGTGAAGGCGCTCGCGCCCTCTAACCCCCCACAAGATCATCATCGTCATCGGGATCATCATGGCCGCCGTACACACAGCATGCTCCCACTAATTTGGGGCCATGCTCCCGCCATGTTCACGTTACTTAATTGCTGCCCCGAGGCTGCGCCTGTAGAGAAGTTCCGGAAGCGCCCCCGTTACGCGTTCCGGGGGGGGTCCCATTAACAGGTTGGGGAGGCGCCCCCGTCGACGGGCCCCGCGACGGCCCCCTAAGATCGAATCCCGTTATTTGCCTGTCAATTCACACGGGAATTCCGCCGACCCTGTCGGCGTGTGTGAAGGGCCTGTCTGTTCAAGTGGTCGTCTCCGTCAGTCGTCGCCTCCGTCGCCCCCTTTCCCTGCGCCCTCCTCCTCTAGCTGATCTAGCAATGTTGCAATCGAGTCGAACGGAAGCCCCTTCCCTTTGATCCCTCCCACGCCGGGGGGCGCGCGGCGGGGCGGGTGGGCCAGGGGGGGGGTCAGGTGCGCATCCCCCCCGGGAGTCATGGGGCCTCAGAAAATACGAAGACAAGCAAAGAGTGCCCCGAGAGGCCCTCGAGACCGCGCGCCTCTTCCATCGTGGGGGTCGTCGTCCAGGGCCAGCGGCATTGGCCATGTGGCCTTGGCAATGAAGGGGACGGGATAGCAGGGGCAGCTTTTTGAAAGCCGCGGAGCAAAGGCCAGGCGGCGGCGGAAATGGGGCGTCAGCCCCTCCGGGCGCGGCATCATCATCAAGACTGGCCACCGCTCTGACAGGCGAGTGGAGCCCTCGACCCCGTCGTCGAACGAGACTCTTCGCTCCCGGTCGATCCACGACGCGTCGGGCGCTGCAGGCTGGGCAGGAAAAGGACCAAATCTGCATTTCTCGACACGTCTACTCACGAGTGGCTTCGCGCCGGATTCATCCGCGAAGGGGCGACCAGGTCACGCCCGCGGAGGCGCTGACCCCCCTCCTCATTCCTGCCTCACCTCCGCCTCCCACGGCCGCTCCGGCACGAGGCGCGCGGGCGCGTGGCCCGCCTCCCGCCTCCGCGCGGCCAGCCAGCCACGAAGCGGCGATGGGCGGCAAGAAGGGCGCCGCTGGTGGCGGCGGCGGCGACAAGAAAACCGCGGATGAGGTCGAGGGCGACGCGGAGCTCGACCGGGCAGCTCAGACAGTCGCCGCTCGCAACCAGGCCGTCAAGCGCGATCTGAGTGACAAAATCGCACGGATCGAAGAAGAGAAGGGAAGGACGACGAAGGGGCAAGAAATTGCGGAAACGCCTCGAAGAGGCAGTGCTCGCGAAGAGCCACGTTGACAAGAAGGGCAGGGTCAGCGCGAAAGAGAACGCCAAGATTGCCACCCCGTTCATCCACCAGGGCACCACGTCGGAGCACGCGGTCAATGAGGACGCAGCCTTTGGCGAGGATCTCATGGGTGCGCGAGTGCCCCATGTAAATCGACTATCACGGTGAAGAGTTTCTCTACGCTTAGCACGTTGTTCGACAATGTCGACGACGACAGTTTGGCTGCCCTGCTGAGGACGACGTTCTGTCCAGACAATGTTTTACGGGAGTCCGTCGGTGAGTTCATCATTCTACGGAAATGGCGAAGTACTTGGACAAGCACGACATGGTCACCACGAAAAGGGCCCAAATGAAGGCGCTGGTCGACACCATCGACGCATCTGGTCAGCGAGTGCACACGTCCTCCAAGGGTACACAAACCAAGCTCGGCACGTCTGGCTGCCACCCCGCATCATGGACGCACGGCGAAGCGGTTCTTCTTACCACCTTCCCGATGTGCGCACGGCCTCCCGAAACGTCGCCGCGCGCTGAAGAACAAAAACAAACGAAGCAGGCGCACGAATGTAGAAACAAGCGCAGCAAGGCACGTCAACGATTCCGAAGTTGATCACCCCTGGCGCGACGGAATAAAATTGAAAACGAATATTAAAAGATCATCGGCTGAAACGATGGGAGCAAATCTTAAATGGGCGGCGGGTGAAGACTTGCGACCTCAGCGAGTCGCGGCAGCGGCCCGGAGATACGCTATACCATCCAAGCGGATAGCGTGTCGCTCCGCTCCGCGGGGCGCGAGGCGGGGAAAAGCTCGGAACGCTGGCGCTCGGGGGCTGGGAAGAGGCTCGCGTGTTGCACCGAAGCGTGGTGGGCCAAAACCAGCGGTGCGACACGCTAAAGTTCTTGGCCGTTTACCGTTGCCAAATGTTCCAATGAATGTTCGCCATCCTTGCCGCTGTTGCGAATTTCGAGCTTTAGGATCATAGAGGTGAGGAGATCCAGGGCGAAACGCCGGCCGGTTCCACCAACGCGTCTGAGGGGTGAGACAAGGAGGAGTTATCTAGGAGGAAAAGGGATGGAGGAGGAGGAGGAGGGGGAGCATGGGCACCCTGAAGAAAGGAAGAAGGCATGCGGACACGAGCACGAACGAGAAGAGGGCAAATGAGTTAGTCTCTGCCAGTGCGTGCTCGGGTACCTGTATAGTAAAGCGTGTGCTGCACGGCGCGATACGACTAGATTTGCTTGCGAGACAGACGCATTGCGGGCGCTGGCAGTGGACTTCATTTTATTGTAAACGTGAAAGGCCAGGATGATCCTCGAGTCCATCGTTGGCAGGGACATTGGACTGTCGGCGTCAGCTGCGTGTGCTGCGGCGGGGCCAAGCCCCCATGCCGTCAGCGTCGGCTGGATGAAGGGGGGATCAGGGAGCCAGAGGAGCCTCGAAAGGGCG